ATGAGGATAGACAGCAACAACAACAAATGAACAGGACTGTAGGATGAGTATAGGATCCAGGAGGGGTGGGAGAGGCTGGAAGCAGAGGGATGTGGACGTGCAGGGGGAAGGCGGGATTAATCACTGGGTTGTACAATTTGATGGTGGGGTGGTGAGGGAAATTGAAAGAATTTGTTCAAATTTGTATTTTAATTTTGTAAATAAACTAGTAGATGGGGGGGGGAAATGAAGAGGTAGGAAGCTCTGGTGGCTTAGTAAGTAAGGAATTGGTCTGGCAACACAAAGGCAGGTGGTTCGAATCCACCAGCTTCTCCAAGAAAGTTGGGCATGTCTCCTTCCATGTGATTTACACCCTCCAAAAACCCTCTAGAGGGTCTGATACGAGTTAAGTCTAACTTGACCATATATAACAACAGCAGGTTAGATAAGAACAGAGGTAGATAAGAAGTGATATGTATGGGTGGGTGTTAGAGGCAGAGAAATAGGAAGACAAGACACAATGAACACTAGAGAGTGAATCTTGAAAACAGGGACACAACAGTGCCAAAAAGTCAAAGCAGCATAAATAGATTGAGGATTTGAAAGCTGGTCAAGTCTAGCCTTTTGTGACCCATGAAGATTCCTGATAGAGGGAACATTTCTCCCCGACACTCACACATTTTTCAGCCGAGTAAAAAAAGAATTGAATCATTGTTTCTGCAAGAAGAAATTCAATCTACATAATCTGTCTTTGATATTATTTTTAAAAGCATCCACTTCCCTAATGATAAAAATTTGGAACTGTGTCATACCTACAGACTGATTTTTCAGTAATAAATTCAGTCATAGTCGTCTAAACTTCATCTGCAACTGCAATAAATTGTAAAGGAATGCATTAAAGGATGTATTTCTCCCAAATTTTCTCCTGACATTACAGAAAAAAGAAAACCCTTTTTTAATCAATTCTGCTTTCCTACCAAAGGACGATCTAATCTGGTTAACTTTCATATCCATCAGATGCACAGGAGTTTTTCGGACGTAGGTAGAGGTTTATGAGCCCAAAATTGAGAGCAATTAGCACTCAAATTAATGTTACATGAGATTCAACATCTGGCAAGTGTGTCGTCATTTTGGGTCATAGACCACCTGCCAAGCTAAATGTTCATACAATTGCAATTTGCTCTGCATACAAATGGAAGGATGAGACTTTAAAAATGTTATTTTCTAAACTTAATAGAATATATGTCAGGAAATCTCACATTTTAACACTTTGACTAGAAGTTAATAATAGATCGGGTGCTCACAGAGTGAAGTTGTTATGTTGCCATTGTTGTGAGGGGCCATGGACAACCGCAACTCACAGAGAGCCTACGCACAATAGTCCTGTAACTTACCCTAGGCTCCGTCTGCCTCACTGACCTCAACACACCCCCCCCCCCCATGAACCCAATTACCGTGTCAATCCATTTCATCCAGGGTCTTTCCTCCACTGTCCCTTCACCCTTCCAAAGATGATGTCCTTTTCCGAGGACTGGTCCATCCTGGCCACATGCCCAAAGGGTGTGAGTGAAATGGAGCTTCAAAATTCTTGCCTTGAAGGAGAAACTTGGTTTCACCCTCTCCAAGACAGACCTATTTGTTCTCTTGGCAGTCCACGGTGTGTTCAAGACTCTTCTCCAGCACCACAGCTCAAAAGCATCAACTCATCTTCTGTCATCCATAGTCATTGTCCAGCTGTCTGATGCATAGCAAGTCATTGTGAAAACCATGGCCTGGATCAGGCGCACCTTAGTCTCTAGATTAACATCATTGGTCCTTTGCACTTTGGAAAGGCCTCTGACAACAGACTTCCCAACGCAATTCATCTTTTCATTTCCTGACTCCTGGTGCCAGGAGTGTTGGCTGTGGCATAAAGCAAGCTGAAATTGTAACAACCTCAATCTTTTCTCAATCTGTCATGATGCTGCCAATTGGCCCAGGGGTGAGAATCATTGTTTTGATGTTAGATCAAATCTTTCAGGAGGCTTGGCTTGATGAGGAGAGATGTAGTTTCAGGTTTGGAGAAAGACTCAAGAACGAACTACGTTATGCAAATTATACAACCCTGCTTGCTGAAATCGAAGAGGATGTGACGTGCTTGCTGCAGAAGGTCAAGGACTGTAGTCTTCAATATGGATTGAAGTTCAACATCGAGAAGACACAGATTCTCACTACTGGGCCAATTGGCAGCATCATGATAGATGGAGAAGAAACTGAGATTGCTAACAATTACAGCATGCTCGACTCCACAATCAACACTTTTGACACCAGCAGTTAAAAAAATCAAAAGACAATTTGCACTGGGAAAAATCTGCTATCAGGGACCACTCCAGAGTACTGAAAAGCAATGATGTCAGTCTAGAAACTAAGGTGCACCTAATCCAGGCCATGGTCTTTGCAATTACTTGTTATTCCTCAGAGAGCTGAACAATGACTAAGGACGACAGAAAGGAAATCAATACCTTTGAGTTATGGTGCTGGAGAAGAGTCTTGAACATATCATAGACCACCAAGAAGACAAATAAGTCTGTCTTGGAGAGGGTAAAACCAAGTCTCTCCTTGCTAGGATTTTGAAGCTCCATCTCACATCATTTGGTGACATGGCCAGGAGGGAGCAGTTCTTAGAAAAGGACATCATGCTCAGAAGGGTGGAGGGACAGCCTAGGTGAGGAAAACCAAAGAGGAGATGGACTGATACAGTACGTGGGACAATGGGGATAGATGTGTCCGACTCGGTGAGACTGGCTCAGGACAGGAAAGGCTTCAGAACTGTTGTACATAGGGTCACTATGAATCACCGGTGACTCAACAGCACAAAACAACAACAACAATGAATCACATGAGAGGAGACCGCCTGTCTTCCTCCCAAGGCACCGCCAGTAGATTCAAACCAGGTACCTTGGAGTTATCAGCAGAACTCCTTACCTGCAAGGCCATGAGAGCTCTGTTCCTCTCTACAAGATAGAAGTGTGCTATATGATAGGACCAAAATGTGCAAAGCTCTTCAAACTGCTTTGAATAATGTGGGTTCTGTGAAGAGGCTTCAGGCAGCTATTGGAGCTCCGAGTGGGAGCAGTTTCAGGTTGCAGGCGGAGCAGCCCTACTTATCAGCTTTAAATATAGGCTTCAGAGGACATTTTAGCTTGAACAGAGATGTGTCACAAAAAGGAGGAAGCGAACACTCGTGATTTACTGCCTCTATTATTTTTTAAAGGAATATTAAAGGTAAATAGTGAAGGCTATATTTGAGCCATACCATTTGAGTTCTGATTCAGTGTTAAAAACTGACCTTTAACTAAGTCATAATTCAAGAATATTTGCGATTTCACCCTTTCACCTTCTGGCAATGTTAAGGAGGAAGGGTTCATTTAAAGCACTGAGCTCACCATCCTTCATTGGTAAAATCTGTTGTCATACTCCAGAGCTTTGTTACTCAAAACGGAAAGAAAGTGAATCTTATCTCCAAGTCCCAGAAGCTAACTTTTGTCCCCATCCCTGGAGTGATCTGGAGTCAAGCAGAGTGAGGTATTTAGGCAAGTGGTACCTTGACTTGGAACTGTTGCTTCACCAACCCACAGACAGTGTGCCGGGGACATTTCCTTCTCAACTGTGTGCCTCAACTTCCTAGAAATAAAATGGGAACAGCACCACCAAACTTACAAAACCCTTAGTGAAAAAAAGTGCATTTTAACTGTTAAGGTCATTAAGAGCTAATGTTTGTTTTAGAACCTTTTATTTTAAAAAAAAAAGTTCTTTTATATCGGTTCCCACACGAGATTCATATACACTGTTTTTCACACTATCCTTCTTTCTCAATGTTAGAACCATTTTTTTTAATTTTTTTTACATTTTTCTACTAGTTTATTTACAAAATTTGAATACACTGTTTTAAAGAACAAATTCTTTTCATTTCCTTCATACCCCAACTCAACAAACTGTACAAGCCCATGATTAACCCCCTGACCCCCGCACATCCTCATCCCTCTGCTTCCAACTTCCACCCCACCCCTCTTGGATCCTTATACTCATTCTACAATAGTTTATACAATATTTGTCCTTGTGGGACTGAGTTAGTTCACTCAGCATAATGCTCTCCAGTCCCTCCCATGTTAGGTAATAATTTACAAAGTCATTGCTCCTGCATGCTGTGTGGTATTCCATTAAGTGAATGTACCATAATTTCTCAATCCATTCATTTGTGGTTGAACCTTGGGTCAAATGTTAGAACCATTTTTATGATGCTTGAACTCTTTCCAAAACTAGTTATTATAGTCAATGAATTTGTTATATTACATTTCCTTCTATAACTACAGAAAGGATGTTAATTAAATTGTTTAGGCTTATATTTTAATTTTTATAGGGCAATCATTCCTTATCCTCCCTATAACATTATTTTCTTTTACCTTGAACTAGTGGTACTCTGGGGTATAGTCTTTAGGAAGCTGAATTGCTAAACAAAAGGTTACATCTCCTTGGTGGTCTGAAGGTTTGAACCTACCAACTGCTCTTTGGTGAAAAGATAAACATTCTCCTTCCGTGTGGTTTTCTACCTCAAAAACCCACTGAAGGGTCTCCTATGAGTCAAATCTGGTGCTTTGGCAATGAGATAGAGAATATCTTAAAGTATGAGTAGAAAAATCAAATTTTCTTGAGAATTTCACAGAATTCCACAGAAAAAGACTCAGCTGACAAAACTGTCCTGTACTATTGTTTTGAAGATGGAGAAAAGAAATTACATAATATAGTCATGATTATGACTAGACTTCATGTATGTTTTATTTCTAAGAAAAATTTAAAAAATGAAGTATGATTTTGATATAGATCATCTGCTTGGCCTTTTTATGCACATAATTTTTACTTTGTCCTTTTAATATGCATATAGATCATATTTTTCCAAAGTTCCACTTACAAAATCTAGAAAGAAAAAATGCTCAGAAAAAACCCCAGTAAAACTATCTAGCTATTGTCCTTTTTTATTTCAGATCTTCAAGACCTCCACGTGCTGCCACAGACAGCTGACTGGTCTTCTCCTCCTCTCCAGCAATATCTCTTGACTCTTGGGTTTAAAAACAAAGAAGATGGAAAATTTTTGGAAAAACTATCAAATAGAAAGCTGCCAACATTTATTGGTAAATCACTTGAACTTGTACCTTTCAATATTGATAAAAAGCAGAAATTATATTTACCTAGGCTTACCAAGACCTAACATCTCAGATTTCAAAAAATATTGGATTATATATAATACACTCAGTTACTGTGGCATGTTCCTTGTTCCACCGCTAACCAAAAGGTCAGCAGTTCAAATCCATTAGCTGATCCTTGGGAGAAACTAGACATTCTCCTCTGGTTAAAACTGATAGCCTCAAAAACCAAATGGAAGGTCACCCTGAGTTGGAATCCTCTTTTGAGTTAACAAAACCTGGTATTCTAACTCTAGGAGACTTTTCCCACAACAACAACCAAATAGCACCCCTATGAAGAAAAGAGCTAAACACGTGTAAAACTTCTATCGTTTCTCCAAGTTCATAGTTTCCAGAGGCAAGCTGTTTCGGAAGTGGATGCCACTCCTGCTTCCAAGCTTGTTTTAATCGGGGAGCTCCACCAAACGCTGTCCACCACGGGTGACCATTATTGCATTTGACTCATCAGTGTCACAGTGTTCAACTTCACAGCAACCACGAGGTACCCCTGTCCAGCAAATGGACAGACCAGTGCTGTACCACTTAGAAGAATGTTTGACCAAAAACAAACCTAGGCTGAAGGGCCACAGATTAACACCACCCACCTTGGCCTTGGTTGCATCTCTTTCTATCCACTAGGTCAATAGAGCTCTATGTCGTTGTTGTTGTTGTTAAGTGCCATCGAGCCGAGTTATAGAAGACTCACAGCGACCCTGTGAACAAAAGACCTGAACACTTGTATAACTTCATGTGTTGTTGTTGTGTTGTTGATTGCCTTCAAGTCAAGCACGACTCATAGCAACCCTATGAACAAAAGTCTTGAAGCCCCTCTACAACTATCAACATTTATCAAAATAACTTCATATAGGGGACCTTAAAAATATAAGCATTTCTAGTCTTTAATTAAGTAAGCATGGGATAAAATCTATAAAATTGTATGAAATATAAAATCTACCCACTGACAAATTAAAACTATATGGATTAACTGTTAGTGTATTAATTTATCTGTTCAGGTCATCTTTTCTCATGCAATTAGTGAAGAGTGTAAAGTTACTGGAGAGTATTACAAAGAACAGGTGGCCACCACTTCCAGCTGAAATTTTCAAACACTCAAGAAAATATTCACAAGAGCACTGAGGTCTCAAACTCAATGGCTGAATTCAACTGCCAGGTTGAATTTGATTCCTTCCTCTCTCTCCACATAATTAAGGATTTGTGTTTTGCCTGGTGATGTGTCCTCTGAGACTTATCTCAACTCGGAGCTACATTCAAAGTCAATGGGATCTGCACACTTGAATAATACCTGGGAGCAACAAGACAAGAATCAGACACATTTATGACAACATTTTCTTACCGCTCAGGAAAAACATACTCTGAGGAGACAGGTGAATTGTCATAGGCTGTCTCTCAAATCTCTCAATCAGGAAACACAGCCCATGAATAAACAATAGTTCTCTAAAGGGCAATGTGCCCTCTGCCTTCTCCTGGAGTGTCTGATATTATACAGATGGTCTGGGGTTGGGACTAGTTTCAATAGTAAAGATTTCATCTATTGACATCGAGGGGTCTGTTTATAGCTTGCTGAAGAAAACAGTTTGAATTGGAAGTCTGGAAAAAAATCATATAAAAGTTTATTGTTACAATTTCTAGAACATAAAACTCCCTTCGGGTTGCTGACCAGAGATGACGCTGCCAGACACATGGAGACAATGGGGAAGCATATCTTGCCAATATTGGATTTTATCAGAAGCACCCAATTGAATGTAGGTATATGAGACTTTCTTCTTTGTCCAATGTACCAATATTAGACAGTTCTGAGATTATGAAAACTTTATGGTGCAAATATTACAAGTATTGGAGGATTTTAGAAACACAGTAAATTTCATTTCAAGACCAAGCATATTTTAGCTGATTATTGCATCCCCTTTTTTATTTTAAAATTCATTATAATGTTACATTTTATGATTTCCAGCATTTTTTAGGCTAGTGTCTATTTAAAAAGTCTTTCCTTTGCACCTTCCTAATACCTAACTCCAGATTGTAGTGAACTTCTCATTTCAAAAAATTTTAGCTAGCAGAATATTTTCTCAATTTCATTTATTGGGCTGTTTGATATAACCATCCAGTTACCAACCCAAAAATGCATTGCATTTCAAACTGGTGCCTTCCACCACACTGACAAATTAGCTGCTACTCTTAACGTTGGCAATTAATCTTGGTATATATATACCTGAAGGCAAATTATTTAATCTCTTCCTATGATCCAGAGCCAATGTGACTGCTTTTCAGTCTTTAAAAGCCCAAAATAAAACCCAAATTATGCTGTGTGCTATTTTACAAAATTTAAGCCATTATCATGAAAGTACATAAAGAGACTTTCTCATTAACAAGCAATAAAGACAACATATATTCTCTCTTTTAATATTTTTTCAGAAACCTTTAAATTGGAAAATTTAATATATTTTCTTCTTGGACTTTTTGCATTACGTCATTAATCTGGTATTCTTACTTTCCAAGGGCTTTTCCAAACAGCAACTTAACATCTGTTCAGAAAGCAGTTTATCTGCTCAGTAATATTATTCAGCATTTTGGGGGAAAAAATTACAAAACTCCTCAACTATTTGCATGATTTATTAATCTATGTCTTACAAATAGAAGAGTCCATTTTCACCAATTTTCCCCACCTTATAGCTTACCTACCCCCACAACTGGGTTCCATTAAAAATTATCTCTCCCATAAATTTCTATGAATTATTATTCTCATTTGAAAGGAGATGTTCACTACAACCTGGAATTAGGTATCAGGGAGGTGCAAAGAAAAGGTCTTTTAAACAGACACTAGCCTAAAAAATGCTGGGAAGTGCAATAAATCCATCTCACTGGCTTGACTTCAAATTTTGGATGACCCTGGTTTCTGTTAATTCTCTGTCACAATCTTTCATAAATACACAGACACAAGCACATACACTCTCATCAAGTTGTCCTCCCCTAGTGGACATTCCACACACAACACACATACTAGAAATGTCAATACCAGGCTCTTACCAGCTGTGGAAGCTTTGATAACAATGACCACCAAAGGGTTCGGAGGCAGGTCATCGACATCAGCTGATACTTGGAAACTGAACTGGTGGGACCTTGAACCTTCCCTTGGCCTTTGTCTGCTCAGGAAGCGATCGCTTCCTCCCAGGTGGCCCCAGGAGAGGAGACAGTTAACTGGCCAGTCATTAGCACTGACAACTCCCCCCAACCAGTCACAGGAGAGGACACAACTACATGAGTAGGTAATTAGCACTTATTGAGATTCTGAGCTGAACTCCTGGGATCTTGACACTTCTGAGGATTTTCCCTACGTTTTGCGATGGGAAATTCTGTGGTTAGGGACGTCTCTAAAGTACTCAAGAGCAACGGTGTCTCTCTAGAGACTAAGGTGTGCCTGATACAGGCCATGGTCTTTGCAATCACTTGTTATGCATCAGAGAGTTGGACAATGACTAGGGAGGATAGAAGGAGAAGTGATGCCTTTGAGCTGTGGTGCTGGAGAAGAGTACTGAATGTACCATGGACTGCTAGGAAAACAAACAGATTCATCGTAGAGAGGATTAAACCATGCTGCTCCTTGGAGGCAAGGATTCTGGGGCTTCGGCTGACATACTTTGGACATGTTGTAAGGAGAGACAGGTCTTTAGAGAGGGACATCATGCTGGGCAGAGTGGAGGGACAGCGCAGGAGGAGAAGACCCTCTATGAGGTAGATTGATTCAGTGACTGGAGTAATCGGGATGGGTGTGTCAGAGGCAGTGAGATTGGCACGGGATAGAGTAGGGTTTAGGGCTGTTGTACATAGGGTCGCTATGAGTCGCAAACGACTCGACAGCACATAACAACAACAACGTTCCAGGAAGCACTACTGGAACTTTGCTTACCCGTAGTAGAAACCACCCCTCCCATCAGACTCCTAGGACAGCACGGAGAAATGAGACCACCACAGCTGAGCAAAAGGACAGCTATCACTTCAAGGTCAACTATCACTTCAAAGACAACTGGGAAAACCTTAACACCAGAAATGGTGAACAGAGAAGCTCATGAAAACCAGCTACAAGATTGCCACCAGGAAACTGAATCACAGACAACACTTAAAATAGCAAAATTTAACCGAACAGTAAACATCAAATGCTGGCGAGGTTGTGGAGAAACTGGAAGCCTTATTCACTGTTGGTGGGAGTGTAAAATGGTGCAAGCACTGTGGAAGGCGGTATGGTGCTTTCTCAAAAACTTGCAAATAGAAATACCATTTGACCCAGTTATTTCATTATTTCACTACTGGGAATATATCCTTAAAAAAAAATCATAACCCCCACCCAAGTAGATATATGTACACCCATGTTTATCATGGCTTTGTCCACAATAGCAAAGAGTTGGAAACAATCTAAGTGCCCATCAACAAACGAATGGATAGAGAAGCTGTGGTATACTCACACAATGGAATACTATGCTGCATTGAAAAACAAGGAACTCATGCAATATTATTCAAAATGGGTAACCTTGGAGGACATTATGCTGAGTGAAATTTCTCAGTCACAAAAGGGCAAATACTGCATAGTGCCACTGTTGTAAAACAGGACTGACATTGGGGTTGGGGAAGAGACTGAGAAAGATGGGATGAATTATATACACTGCATTGAAACAGATGAGAGAATTGTTTAAAAGGAATATATGATAAGGTATTACTGTCATGTCCAGAATGAAGGCAGCTTAGTGAAGTGGACCTGGGGGAAGGGATTGTATAACAATGAAAGAATTTTTCTTTTACTTTTCAGAGAAGAGAGAACTTGGGGGAAGATTGGGCAGCGGGGAAAGTGCAACCATGAATGAATGGAAACCCAAAGTCTCTGTAAGCGTTCATTAAAATTAATAACAAATATAAAAAGAAAAGGGGGGAAAGAAAGAAATGGAACACATAAATATTGACATACTAGGTATTGGCAAAATGAATTAGATTGACACAGGTATTGGAGAAACGAATTGGATTGGCACGGGACTTTATTTTTTGGCACAGGACATTTTTAATCAGATGATCATATGATCTCCTATGCTAGAGATGAAAAGGTTAGGAAAAATGGGGTTGTTTCAATTCTAAAGTAATTTCTAGATCCATCTTAAAATACAATATTGTGAGTGACAGGATGATATCCGTGTGCATACAAGGAAGTCCAGTGAATACATCTATCATTCAAATATATGCACCAACAACTAGAGCCAAAAAAGAGATGTAAAAGATTATACTAACTTTTGGTTTCAGAAATCAATTGAACATACAGTCAAAATGCACTAATAATAATGGGTGACTGGAAGGCAAAAGTAGAAAACAGAAAAAGATCAGTAATTGGAAAACATGGACTTGGTGACAAAAATGAAGCTGCAGACAGAATGATAGAATTTTGTATATTCAATGATTTATTCATTGCAGATAGACATCAATAGTAATTAATTATATAAAATATCATGTATATGACTGTATAAAACACAATGTACAGTAATGAGACACAAAGTAAATGTTGCTATGTGCCATGGAGTCACCTGTGACTCATAGTGACCCCATGTACAATAGACCTACACCCTGCTCTGTCCTGTGCCAATCGCACTGTCTCTGATACACCCACCCCAATTACCCCAGTCACTGAATCAATCCACCTCATAGATGGTCTTCCCCTCCTGCTCTGTCCCTCCACTCTCCCAAGCATGACATCCCCCTCCAAGGATTGATCCTGCCTTGCAACATGTCCAAAGTATATCAGAAGAAGCTTCAGAATTTTTGCCTCCAAGGAGCAGCCCGGTTTAACCTCTCCAGGATGAACCTGTTTCTTTTCATAGCAGTCCATGATATCCTCAATACTCTTCTCCAGCACCACAGCTCAAAGGCATCAATTCTCCTTCTATCCTCCCTAGTCATTGCCCAGCTCCCTGACACATAGCAAGTGACTCCAAAGACCATGGCCTGCATCAGGTGCACCTTGGTCTCCAGAGTGACCTCATTGCTCTTCAGTACTTTGGAGAGGTCCCTAACAGCACACTTTCCCATCGCAATGTGTCTTTTAATTTCCTCGCTGCTGGGAAAAAAGAAAACAAAGAAGAGTGCTCTCCAACTACTCTTCCTTCATCACTTGCACACAGTTCAACAAACAAAGACAATGTGTTTGATGTTGGGGAATGATCTGTCTGCACCCAGGCTTGTCCTGCTACTCACCAGGTGACTGGCTACATCTGCAACATCTGTCAGCAAAGGCCATCTCAGAACTAACAGTGCAAGAGCTGGTTGGACCTAGCTGGGCAGTATGCATATTTTTTAATAATTTTTTTAATTGTCATTTTAACAAAAGTTTACAGAAAAGTTAGATTTTCATGCAAGATGGTTCTTAGCTGAAAGCAGGGAATACCAAGGGAATGTCTGTCTGTGTTTCATTGACTGTGCAAAGGTGTTTGACTGTGTGGATCACAAACTGTGGCTGAGTCAGAAGAATGGGAATCCCAGAACACTTGATCGTGCTAATGAGAAACCTATACTTGGACCAAGAAGCAGTCGTCAGAACAGAGCAAGGAAACACTGCATGGTTCAAAACTGGGAAGGGCATATGCCAGGGATGTGTCCTGTCTCCATGCCTTTCCAACCTGTATGCAGAACAGATTACCCGGGAGGCTGGGCTCTATGAGGAGAAATGTGGGGTCAAGACTGGTGGAAGGTTTATCAACAATCTGCTTTATGC